GAGCGTGTGGACAGTACGATTCCGGTTGCTACCGACACTTTTTTTTTGCGGCCATTGCCAGACCATTTGCCATTTTGTCTGACAAAAAGCGCAACTAGCAGCAGTTGGCCATGCTTGAACAGGATCGTACATGGTCATGTTCTGCACCTTGTGGTTGGTTTTGCTCAAAGGCTAGGCCTCAGAAGCCCTGCAGGAACATGCGTAATGGGTAACGAAGCAGGCCTGTAGAGCGAGGAATCTGATCTTATATTATCGATGTTCAAGACCTGACTTCACGACATGAACTTCACGATTTTGACGCACTTCAACAGCGACGTGTTTCAATTGCAATTGCAACTCTGTTCCTCGCTATTCTTCCGGGCCTTTGTCTCCATGGAGGAGGCTTTGTGGCAAGTAGCACCTGATGCTGGAGTTGTCGCTTCCGCCAGTCTGGTGGGTGGTTCATTGGCCAAAGTGCTGGACGGCCTGGGTGGCTTAGCTCAGATTGTTCGGGCCTGAAGCATGATGGCATTATTTTTTCATAAACACTTATATCTATAGCATGTAGTTCAGCTACTTGTTTTGCGCATGGCCTTCGTAAATATGCTTTAGTCATTGCCTTGCAACAAACTTGGGGTTGCAAGGAAGGCCTTTGGATCCAGGCCCTCACCATCTTCTCATATTCTCATTTACAGCAAGTCAGTCCGTGGGCAAGGTTGAAAAGATTTTCCATCAGTTTCATCCCACTCAGTTTGCTCCATCTCGTTGCTCGTTTCCAACCTGATTTGATGCACCACTGTATCCCACTTTGCTTACAGTATGTAGCCTGATCTCATCGGCCCCTGGCCTGGAACTGCTTGTTTCTGCACATGTCCCTACCTTTTCCATCGGAAGCCCAACACCCACTCCATAATCCCCTTACCTTAGATCCGTTTTGGGATTTTCGCGTCACCCAGGTGCTGCTGCCACCGGTGCCTCCGGCATTGCCTTGGGTGCCGCCTCTGCCGCCACCGGGGCGTTGGCAGCCAAGGCCTTCACCGAGCGCAGCGACCGCTTGGCTGTGGAGCAGCGCCTGGCAGAGGTTAAACGCCGCTTAGTGAAAGAGTCTGTCTGCCTAAGCAGGGGCCCCCGATGTTCAAGTCATGCTGGTTATGTGTTCTGCATCAGTCAAAGACCGTTTGTTTAACCTGGTTAACAGGATGTTGAACTGATAAGGAGGAAGCCACTAGGGCACTAGGGGAAAAGGAACAACCCATTATTTGATGCTTCACGACTGTATGACTGCCAAGGGGCCACTAAACAAGTTGAAATGACCGCAGGTTACTTCAACAGGTGGGGAATGGAGTGGTTTGTGGCGGATCCTGTCGCAAATTTGTTATTCTAGCCGAGGACATGCGCCACAGAGCTGTCCGATATCATTGGAACCTTTGGTTGCGGTACGGCAGATGATCGAAGCCGTTGATTGGTGCTTGGCCAATGAAGAGAGGCGCTCAGCACAGCAGAATTTGACAACTTTAGCGTTCGGCTGCTTTGAACCTCAGAAGTTGAAGGGTCAAAAGCAAAGTGCACAGGAGAAAGCGATCCAAAAGGAGTATCGGAGGCATGTATCCAAGTTGAGAAACATGTCAGCACCTGCTCCCCGTGCCTCCAACCAGAAGTCCAAAAAGAAAGAAAGAAAGCGCAGCTTCGAAGGTGATGGGACTGGGGTTATCTCCAGCATTACCATACCAGGTAGTAATGAAGCTTATGAGCGCCTCTTCAACCCACAATGGGGCACAGTCCGGAGCAAGCAGGGGCTTTGTGCCGCCTTAGGGTATTTGGTGCTGCAATTCTTGGAGCTGAAGAAGACAGCCAATGGAAACCTGGCTGATGGGCCACGATATTCTCTTAGGTTGGCTGTTTCCAGTTTGGCGCGGCACCATACCTTCGACGAACCGTTGGATGTGAAAGCACCGCGCACAAGCCGTTTGCTTCGACCATCCATTGCAACAGCTGAGCTAGATGAGATCGATGAGGAGGAGAACCGATGGAAGACTCAGCCAGGACACGAGCAAGAATTTCGGTCAGCTGCCGTCGCATTGCTTTGCATCCTTGATGCTGCCCTAGCCTGGCGTCCTTCCGATCCTTTGGGCTGGCTGGGTCAAGCAGAAGATGCTGAGGGGGCAGTCTTGGCACGGGAGAGAGGGGTTTGTTCTTTCTCATCTTTTGCTGGCAAGGTTCGGAAAAGCCTCAAGAAGGCCAGCGGAGGTTGCCAAATTGCTTGGCAGCGAATTGAAGTCCACTTAGATGCAATCAGAGCACGGACGCTCCCAGAACCTTGGCCTTGGATCTGGGTGCTCAATGAGGAGGCCTCCATGCTTGTACGCAACAGGACAAAAGTACCCCTGCGAGTGGAACTTCATCGACGAAAAGTTGAGGTCTCACCATTTGCAGACTTGCCACTCCTGAAGCAGGTGATGCGTTGGATTCACGGCAAGGAAAGGCCTATTCTGGTGGCAGATGTCAAGCCAGGAATCGAGTGGGCGCTCCGACCCAGAGCAAAGGAAGGCCGTGAGTTTCGAGTCCGATTGATGACGAAAGCTGGGGTGATGGTTTGTGCTCGTGGCTTACGCAGAGGTCAATCCTTTGATTTCCAAGTCCCTGTGCCACCACCTCCAGCTCAGCTCCGGGTGGCATCAAGTTCACGTCAGTCTGCCTTGACTGGCATTGAAGGCACCATGCAAGGACGGATTCAAGCCACTGATGATGCCGTGAAAGCCTTTGGAGGAAAGGAACCTGACGATCGCGATGATCGAGGATCGATTGCATCCACAGCCACACCATCCCTGGCTTCAGGGCGTCTTAGCTTTGCGAGCACCGCCTCAAGCATGCGGCCCTCCAGTGTTGGCAAAGAGCCAATGGAAGGCATGGCCGCTATGGCCCTCAAGCTAGAGGAGCGGCGGCGCAAGGTGGAAGGCCTTCCGCCATTGGCCTCGGCAGATGAAAATGAGGAGAGCCCCACAACTGAGCCACAGCAGGCGCCACAGGTGGCGGCTCCAAAGGCCGAGAGACGAGGACTACTGGCCGAGAGCTCAGTTGAAGGCTTCCGGTGCTGCCTTTGCCCTCGCTGTTTGCACAGTATGCCTTTGCGCCGCACGCGGCCACGTGCTTCTGTGTATTCTGGGGGTGTTCGTTGTGATCACTGCAAGAAGGAACTCATGGGTGAGGAGGAGAAGAGCTCATCACCCTGCACTGGTGAAGATGCCCAAGAGGCATTTTGCCATTGCAGCCGCTGTTGGTTTGACCTGTGCCGACAGTGTGGGTACAAGGAGATGAGAGAGGTGTGGTGGGGAGAGGACTGAGAGGCGGAGCAATGAGCAACTAAATACCACAGTTCCGTTTCAAGTCAGTGTGAAGGGATCGCACAAGTACTAGATTACTAGATGACCAACATCACTTCTAGCTTCATATAGCCACATGAAGCCATTGTTTGACAAGACCCAAGACTGGCGAATCACTTCAAACGTGGTAGATCTGAATTGAGCGCTGTGGCTTTGCTGGCCAAGCTTTGAATCGCAGTTGCCGAAAGAAAAAGGCCATTGCTCCAAATCCTGCATCAATTGCGTTTCTGAAAAGTCATGAAAAGTCACTCCGCTTAAAGACGCACACTCTGAGGTCATGAAGGCCAAGAAGGCCGTTGTCAAGAGGCTTCACAGAAATCCTCATGGCCAAACGATTGACAATTTGATGGTGCTTGAAACATTTCAGAACGTGTTTCGAAGGCAAAAAGGCGGAATGTCCCACGGGATCAAGGTCAGCCAGGCCGATGGAGCTCCAAGCCGCTAGCTGCGGTGCGCACTAACTTCTTTTAAAGTACTTTGAGGCAGTTGTCAGCAAGCCCGCCAAATCGAAGAGAAAGCAACTTGCCAAAATTTGGCATCCTGCGTGTTCAGACACAGTTTTTGTGTGCAAGAGATGTGATCAAGTGAGTGAAATATCGATATCGATATCCAATCAGTGGATTGAATGACAGGAACGTCACGCGGTCGCCCTTCCATGGCTTTGGGCAGCCGGGAGCCAAAGAGGCCACTTTGCTGGGTGTTTTGGTGAGATTTGGAAGCCCGGCGGCGTACGTTGAAGGTGAGACAGCTACATAGGCTCTTGGCGAAGCAGTTTGGAGAACGACGACCAGGCGAGGGATGTATGTCAGTTCCATATTCCTATGTTCAGGTCCAGGTTGAGGATTTTTGACGACCAGAAACGAACAAGCCAATTAGCTAATCCCCCAAAAATCAAGTTGAAGGGGTTGAGTTGTTTGAGTGAGGCAAAAGCAAGAGACAGATTCTGGACACCGTGGTGGGCACCATCTTGCCTGAAGCTTTCTGAGCTATCAGCTATTGTGCAGATCCATTCACGATGTCAGGCGGTTGAAGCGACGAAGTCTCTCAGGTCACAGAACACCACAAATACCAACTCGCACCGGGCCTTCAGCGAGCTCAAAAAGCGTTGCTTGGCACCCCGAGATACAACTATGGCTATGGTTGACCTTGATCATGGGCCTGGGAAGAGCTCGGGAAAGAGTGCGGATCCTTGCCGGTGTTGCTGCTTCTGGCTGCTGCTGCTGCTGCTGCTGCTGCTGCTTCCTTTGCTGGTGCCCGTGGTATCAGCAGGGCAGTGGTATATTATAGTATAGTATACAGTTGTGCTGGAACTATAGCCAATCGTGGTCGTAGTTGTAGTCGTGGTAGTGTCGTTGACGTCAGAATCATGGTATCAGATGGTATCAACAGTTTCGCTTTGCCTTGCCCAACGCTCGAAGCCGTGAGAGCAGCCAGAAGGAGGAGGCAGGCAATCCTTTTTCGACACCAAGCGCCTGCCTTTTAGCAAGGCTGCTGCTTTAGTGCAGATTCTCGACTTGTTACTAGTAGAACAAAGCATGCAACTTCATTTTTGCGCATTGTGCGTGAGATGTTGCGGAACCCTTTGTGACGCGTGCTTCTTGTGACAAACTGCTTCTCCAAAGACTCTGAGTCTGGGTGCCTTACTGTACTATTTAAATACATCCCGGTTCTAAGTTCTACTTGGCTAATACGAACCCTTAGCCAGCTAGAGCCGTACCATGAAAGACCAAATAAATCCAAAAAACACACGTTTTGACTTTTTCAAGAACGCATCAATTGCGTGTCCCAAACCCTTCATCAAATGCCGTTATGTACGACGTTGTTTGCAGTCGATTTTCAACAACCTTCAACAACTCAGATTTGGCCTTCCAGCTCAAGCTGAAATCTTGCGATTGACTATGCCATCCGGACACAGGAAGATGCCTGTGTGTGCGCTTTGGAGCCTGGGTGCTGGTGCCGCTGCAGGGTGCCGCTGCCAGACGTGTGCCGCTGCAGGGTGTTGCTGCTGCTGCTGCTGCACGGTGCTGCAACGAGATGTCAATGGCCGTGCGCGCTGTGGGGCGCTAGTGCTGGTGCTGCTGGAGGGCAGAGTGTCGCTGCAGCGTGGTGCTGCCAGATGCTCATGGCAGTAGGCGCTTCGGAACCTGCGTGCTCGTGCCGCCATGGTGCTGCCACACATATCTTTTGCTACTTGGGGTCTATGCAGTCTATGCTGGTGTAACTTTTTCCCTCACGCTTTGCAACTATGCCAGCATGCAATGCAGACATGGAGGTATAAAACTTGGCGAGGCTTCCCTAGCTGGGATGCTGTCAGAACTGCGCGGCCTGCTGCCGTCCAGCAAGCAATCCGTTGTGGCGGACTTGCCCCAAAGCCGGGATGCTGTTGGGTTTGGGAGGCAATTAAAGTTCAACTATCAATGCTAGGGCTAAAGGACTCCTCATGCAGATCGTTCCGCTTGGACGAAACTTCCCTCACACCAGCAGGAAGACCAGATGGATCCAAACCATGTTGAAGACTCTTCACAAGGACCTCTTCACTCACGTGAGTCACAATAGAACTTGCTCGCCTGGCTGGCCTGGTTTGTTGACATTGGTTATTTGTCGAAGCAGGAACGTGGCAAGACTTCCATGGAGTTTCTTCGCAAGCTCGACAAGGACTCAGTGCATGCTGAATTGGAGCGCTTCCAGGGCGTTGGCAAAAAGACCAGCGTGGCTTGCAACAGCAATAAACAACTGTTGTTTGGTCCAAATCGTGATCTGTAATTTTATGATTCTCCCCTTTGCGTGTAGCACGGTAGTATCGAACCTTTTGAACCCACACAAGTGGAGTCACACAAGGTTCCCCAGATCGCGCGGGAGGAGAATACTATACAACCCCTTCGTTGTTTAATGCTGGGGAAGTGACACTCTTGGCTTCCAAATTTCAGAGCGACTTCTGCCCCAAGGGGCCACTAGAGTGGAATTACTTTAAGTTTTGGACATAGTTACCCTCCAGTACGCGTAGATAGCGAATTGCTTGTATTATGTCGAATATAATTCTTGTGTTTTGTTCTATTTGTATACATGCCCGGGGGAATCCAAAGTTGAGGTTTCGGTGTATCAAGCTGAGGCCATCATCAACCTGTTTGATTGCAACAATCCTGACATGGCTGTGGCCACTTGCTTGCTACACTTGCTGCAACATAGACATATATAGTTGTTTCGAACGTCAGAGATTATTGATTTGGGTCGTGGGGTGCTCACTCTCTCATTTTTGACTAGTGTCCCAGGCGTCCCCTTGCCCTGGGCAAAGCACGCGATACAAGTGTGTCAGTGTGTGCAGAATTGAGGATACACACGTATTTCGCTTCGCACTGCAACTGGGCTGGGCGCCTTCCGAGAAGCAGCGCGCCCGACACAACAAGGAGTGGCTTTTGATTGGAGCTGGCACTTTTGGTACCTGTATGGACTCGTTGATGGGCACATCCTGTGAATTCCTGATGATTGTTTGCATGCGAAAGGTGTGATATGCACGGAACAAGGGTTTTGCACGACCGGATGCATTGCCTTTCCGCAGGCCTCCAGCCAGCCATGGCCAGCCATCACCCGAGACACTGTTTATGCACATCTAGATGCGAATTTCCCAGATGCATGGCTTAATACATCTTAATACCATTTTGGTTATTTTTGCTTAGATAAGGAAGCTGTGAACTCGTTCATAGCACTTTGTTTGTAAAGAGCATGAAGTGAGCATGGTGAACGGCCTGTGCTCAAGCAGGGTGGGTAGGGAGGGCGAAGGGGTGTCCTTCTAGAAGGGATGTCCTTCTTCAATGAGAAAGGGGGTTTAATCTAGGTTGATGTTGCCTGCCCCCTCTCACAAAAATGTTGATGAATCCAAGCCACGTAATGTGGATGTTGCCTTGCGAGGGGCGTTGGATCTAGGGACAAAGAATTCCACGATTAGGATGCCATGGGAACAATCACCATTCACCAGCCTTGTGATGGGGGCATTTGTTCTCCCTTGGTTGGACGTGCCCGAAATTCCACGCGTGTTACCGCCGCTGCAGTCCAATTTAGATGAGACTTCTGCTTGCGACGACTTGCCAGCCAAGAGACAGAGAATACGTTACCATATGCATGTATCAAGGGTTGGAAATCAGCTGCTGGGCAATGATGCTGCAGACTCCCAGTCAGCCCTGGGGTTTCAGATAGTGTCGGATGCCTTGCGCGGTAAGTCAACGAGCACTTTGAAGATTAGAGTGTCATCCTTGATGTTGTATGTCAAATGGTTGCTCAGCTCTTACCCAGGGGAGGAATTTCTGCCTTTTTCGGAGGAGCGCTACTATGAATACTTATGACGTTTGAGAAGCACCTTGCCGTCAGCAACGAGAGGCACAACGTTCTTGATTATGAAGGGTGCTGTTGAATGCACGACCTCTGCAAGATGTAAAGGAGCAACATTGGACATGTACCTTCACAAGAAGCCGTTGAAACAAGCTCCAGCACTGACCGTTAACATGCTGTGTGTCTTGGAACTGGCATCTTTTTGTGAGAAAGACAAGTTTCTGCGTGCGTTGGCTGGTTTCATTCTCTTTTGCGTGTATGGTCGCCTAAGAGTGTCCGATCTCAACAGGCTGGTACACTGCTCATTGTTGGGAAACTATGTGGAAGGGTCGCTGATGAAAGTGAAGACTGCTAGGTCTAAGGAAAAGCCGTGCACGTTTCTGCCGGTGGTAGCGCCTGCCATGGGCGTCTTGGGAACAAGATGGTTTCAAGCTTTTGCGCTAAACAGAGCCACATTGGAGTTGGACAGCGTGCATCAAATGAGAGCTTTGGTGTATTGCCATCAGAGTCCACCATTCATTTGGACTTTTACTCCAAGATCGATAGTGCAGAAGTGACGGAGGGCTTGCAGAGGATTCTTGGTAAAGTCTTCAGTCGTGAGGAGCTGTGCGACTACACAAGCCACAGTTTGAAATCCACTTTGCTACCTAGGAAAGCATGGATGCGACTACACGTACAGTGAGTTGCTGGGATACCATTTGGCACAGCACAAGAGCGCTTTGAACTACCAAAGAGACGCCCTTGCTGACCCGATTCGTTTCTTGACCCTCCTGGATAAGATTAAAGTGGGGTCTTTTTGTCCAGATGCTGTGAGAGGCGAAGAATTCCCCGCAGATTGGAAAAGTTCGCTTGGCCACTTGGAAAGCAGCACTGGATTCAACCTCTCGTCTATTTGTGAGCTTTTCCTTGAGGAGTCAGTGGATGAAATGCTAGGACCTGCTGGCAACTCGGACCTTCAGGTGTTGTGGGACTTGCTTTGCCAGGAAGACACTAGCATGAGCGAGGGCAAGGGCCCAAAAGTTGCCGGAAGGTGTGACGAAGAGACCGTTTTAACGGAGATCGAGAACGACCGGTCGTGTGAGTCAGACTCCGGGTCATCTTCAGTTGAAAGTGGAGTTGCAAAGGTTGCAGCTGACAACATGGGCCAACGGCATCCTCGAGGTGTTTCGAGCCATGCAATCATGGAAATGATTTATCGCCGCAAGAGGACAAAGTGCCTCCACTTTGAGTCAGCATAAAGACGACAGTGGCAGGACTGCGTGTGGTCGTGTACTGAATGAAATGTTTGTCAGGTTCGATGGAGATCCTGACAAGGCATGGCCCCATTGCAGCCACTGCTGGGGAAATATGAATGTATAGGCAGCACAAGATTTTATAGCCAGCAATGATCCCTTGGTGTAAGGGGTCAAGGCGAGAATGTGGATGACTTGGCAACTTCAATATGAAAGGCAAAAGAGGCCTCCTCCTAAAGCCGTCGTGCCATGTTGATGTGGAACAGTCATGAGCCGGCAAGCACTTGTTTTGGTGGTATGGGTGCAGGCTAGGCTGTATCCCTCTCCTTGTGCCGTTCTGTCAGGTGTGCAAGCGAACAAGGCGAGATGTGGAGGAGTGCCAGTGTGGGCACACATCGCGACGAGGTTGTGCACGGATGTGTTGTATGTAACTGTGGGGTGTACCACAGTGTCGTGTTGCAGCGTCCACGCTGCCATGAGAGGTTTCAGAACCTTATTATTTTGATGTTTGAAGGACAGACTATGTTAATGTAGTGTCGTCGGCTCAAGCAATCCTGTCATGTTGGACTCGGAGGCTGATTTCGAGGACCGGGCGACCGCCATAGGCATCTCCACGGCAGAGCTAGCTCAGCTAAAGGCCCTGAACTATAACACCTTCGGAAGGCTAGCTTTTGCTGCAAACTATGTGCCAGACCAAGCGGACGACGAACCACTAAGGTCGCTGGCTGCCTCCATTGTGGGGATTGACCCTGCGCCAGCAGATCGCATGGCAGTGGTGCGCAGGCTTGTCTTCGAAGCGTACTCGCACGCAGCAGCGGATTTGAAGTTTCGTCTAGACAGACGAGACGATGATGCTCCAAGGAAGCTCGCGCAAGCAGAGAGGTCAGCTCGCTATACCGACCAGGTGAGACGGTTGAAAGGATTAGAGTTGAGTGGTGAATTGGAGCCATCACACCGCTTGATCGACACGGTCTACCAGATGGCGGAGGAGGGTCAGTTGAGGTATGTCAAGTGGGAGGATTGCACAAAACGTGACCAGGAGCTGATGGGTTTCAAAACTGACCCAATCTGGCGTCCCGATTCGAACGGTGTCGTCAAGGAGGTCCGGTTGGCTGAAGATATGAAGGCAGACTTCACCACAGACTTGAAGCTGCGCTTGGCCTTGCAGAGGCGCTCGTTGGCCTTCGACCAGTCAAGGTTGGTTGATTATGAGGATTTCGAAAAGTGGACCCAGATACTCATTGAGGCCTACACGTCATCTCCTCCAAGTGGCTACAGCAGAATCAGCTTAGAGCAAGTGCACCGCGCCGACTTGGAGCTCTTCAAGCATATGATGAGGAGCACTAGGGGTGGCGTCAAAGTGCTGAGTGGAATTCAGCCTATGAAAGCAGCTTTGCAGCAGGCCATCGTTGCCCCGGAAGTTCGCCTCTGTCTGCAGCCGCTACAAGGTTCAAAAAGGCAGCATGAGTCTCATGATGAGGATGTCAACAAGGTGAAGAAGCTGAAGGCAGCTTCCAGTGACATCGAAGAACGGCTGAAACGTCAGATCCAGAACCTGCAGGGACAGATCAAGAATCTCCAAAGTGGAGGTAGTGCTGGCAAGGGACGTGGCTGCTTTGATTTCAATTTGAGCGGATGTTCCAAGGCGGAGCCTGGTGACAAGTGTCCGAAAGGATACCACACCTGCAAGAGGCCTGGGTGCAATGAGGCTCACAGCCAGAAACAGCATCCTGGAAAGTGACAGCATGGCAACCCGGTTTTGGCGGCAGCTGAGCAGGCAAAAAGCCTGAGAGAGTTTTCTTACACTGGTGCGCCCAGCTCAGCTATTTGCATAGAGTTGTGCGCTGGCTGCGCCAGACTATCCCGCTGTTTGAAGAACAAAGGGTTCTGCACTATTTCCATTGACCATTCGAAGAATCGTCATCAAGCTCTACACCCCACGATTAACCTAGATTTGGCGAATGATGACTGCTTAGTGCAATTGCTAAGCCTGTTGGAGAGCCAAGACATGGTGGTTTATATACACGCAGCTCCCCCATGTGGACCTTGCAGTCGAGCTCGAAATCGCAGGATCCCTTTCCATCTACGCTCTCAAGGCGCGCCAGACCCTAAGCCACTTAGGTCCGAACGTTGGCCTCAGGGCCTACAGGAGTTGCTTGAACTGGATGCCGAGCGTGTGGCTACTGCCAATGCAATTTACCAGAACGTGTGTAAGATTGTCAAGCATTTTGCTTCCTCTGCACTCATCTCCATTGAAAACCCTAGCCGCTCCTATATGTGGCTTACGTCTTGGTTCCAGTCTCTTATTTCCGAGTGCAATCTAACCCCTGTTCATTTCCAGCAGCGCATGCACGGGGGCCAGAGAGACAAATGGTCATGCTTCTATGTAAACCACACGCTGTTCCAAGAGCTAGCCTTGACCTGTGACAGGAGCCACGAGCACCTGCCATGGGTGGTCGCCCAGGAAGAGGACAAGTGGGTTTTCAGTACTGCGCAAGAGGCGGAATATCCGGAACTCTTGTGCCAGCGCATTTCTAGCATTGTTGCCACGGTTTGTCAGCAGCGAGGCGTTGTGTTCTTGCAATCTAAACCAAGACAACCGAACTTCCAGGCCAAAATTCGGGCCGCTGAAGCCGGTCATTCCCGAATTTTTGCACGTCCTGACCGTGCCAACCAGTGAGGAAGTGTCTCCCGGTAACGCCCCGTCATTGATGGTAATTCGACAGTGTCTGATGGAGCGAAAAGAGCAATGTTTGACATCATAACCCAGGGACGAGAAGCAATTGCTCGGAAGAGGGAACTAGTTTTTCAACATTATGAGCAAACTAGGATGACTCTTGAGGGTAGAGAGGACCGGATACACCGGGCTTTAGACCATGATTGTTCTGATTTGTCGAGAGACAAGCAGTTTCTCCTCTTCAAAGTCATGGCAGCAGACGCAGGAGTGGATGATGAGCACTTGGTTGATACCCTGGTCAATGGGGTTAATACGTCCAACTCATGAGGAGCACGAGGTGGAGCCGGAAATCGATCATGTCTAAAAGTCCATACGATTGTACTGACAACGTCCGTAAGACTATTTGGGAAGGCGCACTAGAAGAAGCGGGCAGGGGCTGGCTTGAGGGCCAGAAGTCGCTCGCATCTTGGGATCTCGTTTTGTAGTGTCCAGACGTTTTGGTTTGGAGCAAACTGACAAAATCCGTGCCACGATGACATGTCGGAATCTTTGGTAAACTCTGCTTTTGCCCCCTCCTATAAGCTAGACCTGAGCGGTATCGACGGAGTTGCAGTTTTGGCTCGGACTTTTCTAGATGCGGTAAAGAGTGACGGACAGGTAGAATTGCTCTTGAGTGATGGTTCCAGGTTGAACGGTCATTTGCATGAGTCTTGGAGCCGACAGGAGGCCAACCAGTTAAGTGGACGGACCTTAGACCTTGATGCTGCGTACAAACAGTTGTTAGTTGCAAAGTCGTCGCGTTGGACGGCTGTCCTGGCAGTGGAGGACTTGCAAGGGGCTCGACGCTTATTCATTTCTAAGGTACTACCGTTCGGAGCCACTGCGACCGTGTTTGCCTTCAATCGGATCGCAAGAGCAATACATGCAATAGGAGAGCGATTGTTTGGTTTGGTTTGGTCCAACTATTTTGATGATTACCCGCAGCTCGATTTGGCAGCCTCTCAGAACGATTTTCGCAAGTGACGGCAGAACGACTGCTTGACCTGTTGGGTTGGAAGTTTTCACAGAAGGAAAGCAAGCGCAGACCCTTTGACTTCACCTTTGATGCGCTGGGAGTTACGTTTGATTTCACCCGGTGTAAATTCGGTGAATTTGTTGTTCGTAACAAGGCCTCTAGAGTGCTACAAGTGTCCGCTGAGATTGAATCGATCCTTCAGAAAGGGTCGTTTCCACCCAAAGCAGCTTCCTCCTTGAGAGGAAAGTTGCAATTCGCTGAGGCACACACGTTCGGCCGAATCCTGTCTTCAAACCTGCGAGCCTTTCAGAACAGAGCCACAGGTAAAGATGCCGGGGAGAGCATCAATGCTGCACTAAGGCTAGAACTTGAATGGGCTAAGGACTTCCTGCAAAGCAACCGGCCGCGAACACTATGGTGCGATATGGACAGTTCACGTTTAGTGATTTTCACGGATGCATCGCTAGAAGGGTCCGACACTTGTGGGGGAATTGGCATGGTTGCTGTTCATGTTGTGGGTGGTGTTGCCTGTGAAAATTTTTTCTTTTCAGATGTCTTTCCACCCAGCCTCTTGTCAAAGTGGCAGTCGCGATCAAAGAAAATCATCGCCTCCCTTGAATTGGGGGCTGCTGTGCTGGCAGTCAAGCTGATGTCAGATATGTTTGAGAAGATTCGTGTTTTTCTGTACGTCGACAACGAAGCCGCCAGAGCTTCATTGATTAACATGTTCAGCCCCATCCTCTTGCGCAACGCTCTCCTTAAGGAGTTAAACGAAGTTGTGCTTGCTCGCAGTTTGTTCTTATGGTCGGCCCGAGTGCCCTCGGCTTCAAATCCGGCTGATGCACCATCTGGGGCGGAGATAGAGGAATATGAGGAAAGAATTAAGGCAGGCGCATGCCAACTGTGTGTACAGTGGTCCCAAGTAGATGCGGATGTCTGAAAGGGGAAACAAAGATATTTGGTGTGCAGTGCTCTTAAGTGGGGTTAGCCAAGGCCCAGCATGAATGTCCTAAAGTTGATGTCGCTGGCTTGGTTCCATGGACCCGCACGTCCACAGGAACTGCGCCCATGGAGCACCCCAAGTTCAAAACACGCGGCGGTCGAGACGCGTGAGAGCACAGGACATGAGAGGAGCAAACAATTTGCCTTAATCTGCGCAACATAATGCATGCCTCCAATAAGTCAGAGACTAACATTGGTCAAGAGTTGAGCAAGGGTGAAAAAGACTCCATGCCACCTTGAGCAGCCACCACCCACTGTGTGTGTTAGTGTTGGTAGTGTCGGTGATCCACGTGTGGCTGAGCAGGGTTCCTGTGTCGTTGTCGCGGTGATGTGGATGTATACATAATACATAGGTGGTGTGTGTGTGTGTGTCACTGGGTGCCTGTATCTCATGGACCCTTAGCTTCTTGTGGTCCTACCACGAGAAGCTGCCCGCCCAAGTCTCGTGATTCTGAAGTTGCCGTCATAGTGTGTGCAGAATCGAAGGTGCACAGCCCCAAGTGCAGGCAAAGAGTCTAACTCCTTTCACTGTCACCTTTTTATCAGGCTCGTTGTGTTTGGCTTTCTTGGGCTAGCAAGGCTCGATCATTTACAAACTTGTACCAGCTTGCTTATGGTAGAATAACGAAGCTGCTCGATTATAGCATTGCAAATGTAAATGTGAAACGGCGTAAGATTCCCCTAGAAATGCTGAGAGCTTGGAAGTTTCATGGTTTGGAACCTTCTACATTCAGAAATCAGCAGAAAGTAGCAGAATTGTCGCAGTTTGATGAACGCGGAACGTGAGGGTAAGCAATGGTAACCACTAAGGACAACTTGAAGTACTCTATGCACCTCATCCTCACTGATACCGAGGGTGGTTTGCCTGTGGTTTGCGGCGCGCGCAATCAGTTGCACTTTGATGGACGGGCCATCACTGTGGATGGCAAGCCGTTGAAGGAGGTTGTGACAGCAAGTGACCTTTAAATAGATTGTTCGACGTAGACAATTTTCGAGAGCACCACAGAATGTCTGACCTCTTTTCCACTCAGCTGCTGTAGCATTCTGGTAGCTGAGATCAGCAAGGGAAGCCAGCAATGTGCACCGCAGCTTGTAATGGGTGGTGCTTCTCCGGGTTTTGTTCCTGGCAGCAGTGTGTACAGTCAGTTTATTCAGTTTAGGCATAGCCAGCGTTAGGTACTTTGCTTGCTTCTTTTGAGTCCAGGTGATGAGATTTGTTGCCCACAAGCTTGTGCAAAGGTAGTCTTCGGATGCACAGTCTGTTTGCCTCCGCTAAGCCCTAGAGGGAAAACGGAGCGCAGTGTTGAGTCCAGCAGAGTCAAGAAGCTGCCGCATTGATCGCACTATCCTCGCGCGGTCAGATCCAATGTCCTTTCCGGCCGTACTGCACTGTTGTGTGGCTCAACAGCCCATCGAAGTGCAGTGGGCAGTTTCACCCCATCATGCCAGCTTATGGAGTCGAGGCTTTGAGGCAAATGACAGACCAACGAATTTCTCTTTCATGGTTCGCCTGCACAGTTCAAGCTTTAACATGGAGTCAGATCACCATCTGTCCCCAGGCACAAGGCTGAACTGAATGAAGTCAGAGACCGTGCTTTGCCTCAGTTATTTTTGTGGGGTGGGGTGGGGGGTTGTACTAGCACAAATCATCGTGGGTGCCATCTCATGTTTATGACAACGCGTGGATGCATACCGAGTACAATTGGCAAGTTTGGAGACGAAGCATCAGCAAGCCACCACTTTGGGTTCGGAGTTGAGCTCGGTGCCCGCAGGTATTGGCAGCCTCCTCCGACAGTTGGATCCAGATGATGAAGCCAGGTGCCCAGCTGGAACGCGCACAGACTGTAATGGGCAACAAGCACGCTAATGTAGCCAAGTTGGGAAAGAGCCATGAAGACCTTGCACTTCATAGCCGGGCAATGCTTTGGCTTTTTGAGGAGAAAAGCCGCACACAGCCGCGCGTCACCAAGAAGATGACGCGAAGGGCACATCTCTCAGGAGCAGATGGAGCAAGTCTCAAAGACTAGTGGGCCAGAAAAGTGTCTTCAAATCAGCTAAAGTAATGATAGTCTGAAATGAACTCCAACCTAATAGCGATGGCCTCCAACCAAATCGTCGATGGCCTCCAACTTACTAGCGATGGCCTCCAACCTAATAGCGATGGCCTCCAACCTAATAGCGATGACCTCCAGCTTAATGGCGATGGCCTCCAACCTAATAGCGATGACCTCCAACCTTATAGTGATGGCCTCCAACAAAATAGCGATGGCCTCCAACTTATTAGCGATGGCCTCCAACCTAATAGCGATGGCCTCCAACTAATAGCGATGGCCTCCAACCTGGACCTAATCGTTGATGGCCTCCAACCTTTTAGCGATGGCCGCTAAAGCCTAATAGCGATGGCCTCCAACCTAATATCGATGGCCTCGAACCCAGGACCCAATATCTATGGCCTCCAACCCAAATAGCAATGGCCTCCAGCCTAATAATAGCGATGGCCTCCAACTTAATAGCGATGGCCTCCAACCCAAAAGCGATGGCCTCCAACCTGGACCTAATCGTCGATGGCCTCCAACCTAATATCGATGGCCTCCAACCCAGGACCCAATATCATCCAATATCTATGGCCTCCAACCCTAATAGCCATGGCCTCCAACCTGGACCAAATCATCGGTGGCCTCCAACCTTTCAGCGATGGCCGCCAAACCTAGTAGCGATGGCCTCCAACCTAATATCGATGGTCTCCAACCCAGTATCGATTGTACGTGGAAATGCGGATTTTCTTCCTGTCAGCCACTCAGCCACTCAAGACCCTGAGTGGCTGAGTGGCCGAGTGGCTGACAGAAAGGAACGTCTGAGTGGCTGAGTAGCTGACAGGAAGAAAAGCCTGAGTGGCTGAGTGGCTGACAGCAAGAAGAGCTTGAGTGGCTGAGTGGTTGAGTGGTTGGTGTGGAGTAGTCGTCGTAGTAGACGTTTTGTATTGGCACTAGGCTAGCACTAGCCAGTACAGTACTAGTACTAGTACCACTACTACTTCTACTACTACTACTGCTCCTCCTCCTACTCCTACTGCTCCTGCTCCTGCTCCTCCTGCTACTGCC